GCGCCCACCGGAAGGGGCGGGGCCCGGCGCTGATTGGCAGGGAGGGGCATGACGCCGTCTCCGGCTATAAGAGCCGGCGGGGCAACCAGCAGCGCCAGACGTTCTTCGTTGAGTCGCCGTGGTTTCCTGCTTCAACAGTGCTTGAACGGAACCCGGCGCTCGCCAACCTTCCCCCAACCAGCAGCTACCAGCCAGCCTTCTACCACCTCCTCACAGCAGCGCCCTCGGACGCCACAAGGCCCCCGCCGCCGCTCCAGCGCCTCGCAGCCGCCGCCACCGTCTCTTCTCAACCGCCGCCATGACGACCGCATCCCCCTCGCAGGTGCGCCAGAACTACAGTCAGGACTCGGAGGCCGCCGTCAACCGCCAGATCAACCTGGAGCTCCACGCCTCCTACGTCTACCTGTCCATGGTGAGGCCTGGCGGCGGGCCGGGGGCGGCACAGCCTCCTCCGGACCTACGGGCGCGGGGCGGGCGCGGGTGTGGCCATCGGGCGGCTCTCCCGCCTCCTGGCGCCCTGCTGGAAAATGGAGGCTGCTGGAGGTCTCCTAGGACTTCTCTTGCGCGGAAATCCTGACTCTGAGCTGCTCGCCCCTTTCAGCTGTTCCCCGGGAGGGCGCCCTGTTAGGCAAGGACCGCCTTTGCGCACCCCTCTCTGCGGAGAGTCTAATTTACTGAAACCTGGGATTGTAATATTTGCAGCCTGTAAAATCAAGCCTGCAGTTCGGAAGGTGGCATTTTGCACTTCCATCCCTCCCACTGCCTACTATGATGTGGCCCTGGGTAATGGTGGTGAAGAGGTCTCGCTCCCATCCTCCCGAGTATGACCGGGCCTGCTGGGTAATGGTGTCGGATAGCAACCTTGGGGACTGGCGCTAAGTGGCTTATCTCCCGTGGGCGGACCTCTCCCGGAGCGAACAGCCGCCTCCACCCCTCTGTTCTGCTTATCTTTAAGTCCCACTTGAATTGAAGCATATCTCTAGAATAATCTTCTCTCCTACCATCATGCAGTTATTTCTAATAACCTGCCCTTATTTTCAATGACTGCCGTTATTACGTTTCAGGCACACCTGAATACGGCAAGTGTCTAAAACTGAAAAATCAAACCACCTACTGGTAATATACTTGCATCAGCATTTGCCCACAGTTGTCACCTTGCATGGAGGGTTAATTTTAGGACTAAATCCAGAAATCTCTGCTGTGCAGCTGGCAAATGTACAAGCTCTCGAGCTCATGTGTTAAACATGGTGAGGGAGGCAGGGAGGAGAAGGTGCTGGGACTCTAGTGATACAGATCCCTAAGACCCTCTGTGCTGGAGGCAAATTCCCATGACCTTCTAAAGGTTCCCTGGAGTTGTAAACTTGTAAGGATGAAGTTTCACTTGTGTATTTTAGAGTAATAACTAATTAGTGTTGGGTTCAATGCAGGAACACACCTACCCCCGATCTCCGCACTGACTGCCTTTTGCTGTGCTCTGAGAAAGCCTGGGCTAAGACTGCCTTTGCTACTTTGTAGTCTGTTAAAGCTACCTTCCTTCAGGAATCCCTAGCTTAACATGTTCTTGCTCGACTTCCAGTCTTACTACTTCGACCGTGATGATGTGGCTCTGAAGAATTTTGCCAAATATTTTCTTCACCAATCTCACGAGGAGAGGGAGCACGCTGAGAAACTGATGAAGCTGCAGAACCAGCGAGGTGGCCGAATCGTCCTTCATGACATCAAGGTGAATGAATAGATGGTCCTAGGGCGGTCACCAGGGTCTCCCAGTCCAGCAGTGCTCAGGTGTCAGAAGTCACTCAGACGGGCAGCTGTCCTCAAAATGAGGCCACTTTCTGCTTTTGCCTTTGTGCCTCCCATTCAGGCATGAAGTTAAAGTAGGCAAACGGCAGTGGGCTGGGATGTGAAACCGGAAGCCACTGGGGGAAACTTGAATGTCCCTTTTGCCAAAGTGTGGTGGTTAGATGCTGGGTGTTTGCTGTCTTGTCCAGTGGGTTAATAGGTGTACACCCCAGGTGCATTGACCTACCCTTCTCTCATTCAGAAACCAGACTATGATGATTGGGAGAGCGGACTGAATGCAATGGAGTGTGCATTACAATTGGAAAAAAGCGTGAATCAGTCACTACTGGAACTGCACAAGCTGGCCACTGACAAGAACGACCCCCATGTGAGTATTGGAAACCAGGGAATGCATGGAAGAAATTAGTTGCCTTGGAGGCTGGAGAGCTTACCAATAATCTTCCCTATTCTGTTTTCTAGTTGTGTGACTTCATTGAGACTCATTACCTGCATGAGCAGGTGAAATCCATCAAAGAATTGGGTGACTACGTGACCAACCTGCGGAAGATGGGAGCCCCGGCGTCTGGCCTGGCAGAGTATCTCTTTGACAAGCACACCCTGGGAGACAGTGACGGAGACAACTAAGCTTTAGCCTGCTGCCCCACAGCCACAGGGGTGACTTCCGTGGCCACCAACACAGCTCATGCATGTTGGGTTTACCTTTACCTTTTCTATAAATTGTACCAAAACATCCACTTCAGTTCTTTCATTTGTACCATTCTTTCAAAATAAAGTAATTTGGTACCCAGCTGTTGTCTTGGCGATCTTGGGGTGGGCCAGAAATCTGTCTAAGCCATATTGGTCACGTTCTTTACGCGTCACAGTTTCAGTTACACTTAAAATGAAACTTAGGAGGATTTATATTTATTAAAGTCTTTAGTTTGGGAAAGATAGTGAGGTGTGTAGGGTGTTGAATTCAGACAGGACCAAGGACTCCTGATTGTGAACTATGTGTTCTCGGTGATTCATCCTAACTTTCACAGTTTATGTACAGAAGGCATTTGAAGACTCAAGTAGTCCTGGACCTGTTGGGCTTTGTTACCCATTAATCTGACCATTTAATTCAGGCTGTCGTGGGAGCACTCTTCGGTGTGGGCGGCAGTATGGGTATGACTGGATCAGTGTCCCATTGGTGGACATGCAGATGAGGACCAGGCTGGTAAACCCCTTGGGAAACAGGTTAGGAATGTAGATCGTCTCTATTGGAGAATTCGAGAAAGCATACGACTTGAGTATAGAATGTACCTTCATGTCAATACTTAAAATAGCTGCAGTAAAAGAAGCTAGTCTTGGCAAAAGCTGAGACATCTTCTGAAGATATAACTAAGAACAAGTAAACTGCAAATCCAACTATTTTCTTGCTAACAACTATATTAACATCCTTAACTAAAACCACAGGAGTTTTGTAAAAGTTACCTTCTAGTCCTAGAACTACAAGATAGTTGCCCTTTTAAAGTTTCAATCAAAATAGCCATCTGTTCTGACCTCAAAAATAACAGCTTGAAAGTCTAGAAATAGAAAGTTCAACTTCCTCTCCACTTCATGGTTAGGAGTGGGGTAGGTGCTGTTTAATTGGGTGAAAGTTTGAAGTATCCAGGAACTATTCTGGAGTAAAGGGAGGCTTGAGCACATTTGAGTTCCCCAAAGCACTGTGGAACAAGATAAGCTAAGGGCCTTAGAAGCCCTCATCTCTTGCCATCTGCCAGTTCCTGGGGATGTGGCAGGGCCTACCACGCTTTCCTAGAGTTCTTTGGTGCTGCAGTGAATGGTTAGGGGGTCATTTGCAGTCTCCCAGTTGAGTGGCCAGTGAGTCAAGTTCTTGGGCTGCAACATGGAACCCCTAATTTCTGCCCCAGGGTTTTATGTCAGCCACCCCTGCTCAAAGTGAGCTGGGCCCAATGAAACATCTGTCCATCCCCGCCTGACCTACGAGCCCTGTGGCACTCTAGCACTGCTGTCACTGCAACCTCATCCTCCTTTACCTGGGTCCCAAGGAAGTCTTTCTTCCTGGTGACGACAGGCTCTTGGATCAAGTGAACAACAGGCCCCAAGGCTTCCCTAGAGGCCCTGGTGGGGGTGCCAGGTGTGTACCCCAAGCCAGTACCGGGCATAAGTCCAGCTACTCTGACAGTGACAGAATCAAAGAACATTGTGGAGGAAGGGAAGGCTCAGGGCAAGCGGAGAGGGGAGGGAGGGCCACAAGGGAGTGTAGCGACCCTGGAACAGACCTGTTCTCCAAGTCACAGTAGGGATCTCCGGGATCTCTGAATCTAGTGTGCACGTTGCTGGAATGATATTCAGGGGCCTCTGGCATATCTGGCAGGTTAAACTCAACAGTTTTCCTTCTTCCATAACTTACTTCCGGGTGCTCCTTGGAGGCTGCAGCCCTCTCGGGGAGCAATTCAAAACTATTCTTGGCCCCGAGAGTCAGAGGATTTAGGCTCTGGCCTTTGACAGTGGCCTCTATGTCTGTGAGGCTGCCGAACCTTGAGGGTGCTGACAGTCCTGGTGGGAAGACCATGGGGGTGTGGCTGAGGGGCGTCTCTGGAGCACTGTGGTAGCCCGACCTTTCGTACAGTGGACTGGACCTGAAGGCGTCCATCCTCACCTTCCAGGCCTTGCTATCCTCCTGGTCCCCATGGTACTGTCGGCCTTCCGGGAACATCAGGCTCCCTCTGTGATCCTTGTACTGGCGCTTAGCATAGCCCATCTTGTGGGGAAAGGATTCCTTCCTGCGTGCTAGCAGTCGGGTCTTTGAGTTTGTTCTGGTGGGGTGTTCATGGGACTGCAGCCCTAAGAAGCGGCCAATGATGCCAGTGGGCCCACCGCCTTCCTCCTCCTCATCGCTCTTGTGATTTGGCTGAAACTCCATATCTTCTTTATCCATGCTAGAGAGAAGAGGGAGACCCAGAGCTAAGTGGGGGGCAAAGGAGCAAAGCCTGACCTCACTTCTCCCTTCCCCACTCTCCTCCCTACCTCTGGCCAAGGCCAAGGCCACGGCCACACACAGTCTTCCTCACAATGGCCAGACTCTCTTCTTGCCTCTCTCCTTCTGATGCATCCCGTATCTCCGATTAATCCTCCAGGCACAGCTAGCTCCTCACTTCTCTGAGGCTCCCTCCTGCCCGCAGATATCATCTAGACTCCCTTGCCTGGCACTTAAGGGCCTCCTCATCACCCATTCCTTCCCTTCAAACCCTTCATTCTGGCAAACAGAACTCCTGGTCCCCAAGTATGGGTGGCTCAGACAAGGTCTAGGAGAATCTGGGCAAGGTCAGGGATTTGTGGTCTCAACTGGAGAGCAGCATCCACAGGGAGGGAAGTTGGCTTCCTGGCAGCAGGCTTCGGGGAGCCTGAGGCTTTTACTCTGCAACTACCCCAGGGTGTGACCTGCCCTTGCACATGTCCAAAGTCTCCCATCCTCCAAGCCCCAGCTCCAAGCCTGGCTACAGGCCACCTCCCAGGCAGCCAAAGGTGACCCTCTTTCCTGAGTTCTATCCCTGTCTTAGGTGTTCAGCACTTGGGACCTTGTATTCAGAGTTTGGCCTTGGTTTTCAGCTCCTTTGCTAAATTGTGTGCTCCGTAGAGGCAAGGCCTATGCATGGGTATTCTCTATAAACCGTCCCCTCCCCACCAACCTTCAGCTGCTGGAGCACAGGCCATGCAGAGCCCAGAGATGGACTTCGGAAATGCTTCTCACCTAAGCAAGCCCCTGTCCTTCATTTGATCACTTTCCCAAACCCTCCTCACCCCAACTAGGAACTCTTTCTAGCTGATCCTGATTACAGCATAATATGCTATTTGGCTCTTAAAAAAGCAAGGAGAGAATCGTGCCTGATACTGTGGGAGAAACTCTTGACACCCACCTTGACAGCCCTCCCAACTCTGACTGTCACCCCAGGAGAGAAGGCTGTCTGGGATGGCCCTTCAGCCCACTGTGGCCAGCTACAGCTCAAGAGGGATTCTGACCCAACCAGGGAAACAGGACCACGTGGAGGAAGGTTTGGCTGCTGTGGGTGGCCCAAGGCCTTTCCTGTGTAGGACAAGTCTACTCAGGAGGTGCCTGGGCTGACCCAGACTCCTGCTGGGACATGCTTGCCACCGCTCCCCGACCCCAGGAAATCACACCTCCACTTCCCATCCAAACACCCTGGCTTATCTAAAAACCAGGTCCTAAAATCCCAACTGCATCATTGCTGCCCTTGAGCAAGTCTCCTCCCTCTCTGGGCCTCAGTTTCCAATTCTGGAAAGAGGGGCTTAAGACTGGCTGTCCCTAAGGTGTCCTTAAGCTGCACAGGGTCAGGCAGTAAGGCAGGTGGAACCAGGCACACATAGCTCACATGTGCCACTTGCTAGCTATGTGACGTTGGGCTAGGCAACTTACTTAACCTTTCTGAACCTGCACCTAATCACCTGAAAACTGAAGATAATCAACCAGGCTTACTGGGAGGGAAAAATAGTTACGACATATAAAGAGCTTAGTACAGTGCCTGGCACTTATCAGGCATTTGGATGATGTATGTTCGTGGCTGCTATCCTAAGTCCTTAGGCAAAGACCTGCACTGGAGGGCTTTTCCGCCTGCCCCAGCAGTTCAGTGACACTGCCCACCTGATGTTGTAGGCAGAGCCAAAGAAGGATGGTCGTCGGGACTGGGCAGAAGCGGCTGTGTAGGGGGGTTGTGGATCCCGATCATTCCAGTACATGTCCCGCTCCAGCGGGGGCAGGTTCTGGTGCATCTCGTCCACAGCCAACAGGGACACCTGGTCACCGGGGACAGAAGCAGAAGTCCAACAGAAAGGTCAGCCTAACGGGACCAGGGGCTTGCCTGAAGACTCCCCTCTCTCTCTGGGCCTCAGTTTCCCTATTTGTGAAATGGACAGACCGATGCCTACCTGTAGCCTCAAAAGTTGGGGTGAGGATCCTGTGAGTGAATGATTGGCTGGGAGGGTGGGCATTCACTGTGATACCTCCCTGCAGAACTTTGGGATTCCCCACCCCGGGTCCAGTTTGGTGATAAGTCCACGAGACAGCCTCCTTCCGTCCCTTCCCCTATACCTGAAAGCTCCTATCAACAATCCAGTTGGTCTCAAAGTCATCGTCGTCCTCTCCAAATGGGTTGATGAGCTGCTCAGCCACCTTCGGGGAGAGGTGAGGCTCTAGAAATCCTAGGCAGGACTCCTTGAGGCCCTGCTTCGCACCCTCAAGCCCTGGCACCTGCCATTTCCTTGCCTCCCTGGGGCCTTTCCTGCCTGACCACTATCTTCAAAGCCACAGTATTAAGAGTACTAGACACCCACACATGTGGCCACACCCCCAACACACACACACTCCCTCCGCTTCTGGACACCCAACTCCTCTGACTCCCCTGAGCCAGTCCCTCCCTGAATCCCGAGTTGTCCCTGAGTGTGTCCCTCGGCTTGAGTCACCACCTTTATGTCACTTCACTGCATCTCACCTGGCACTGCATAATTTTGTTCATTCATTCATTCAAATCTTTAAACATTCATTTATTCACCATTTTCTAACATAACAGAGGTATATGCTGAGGCCTGTCTGGATTAAAGGGAGGTCCAGGCAGGCAGATTCTTTTGCACTGATCTCTAATAGGTGACAAATCCCTGCATAGGTGAGGAGATGTGCAAAGGGTTCAGGGGACATCATGTGGGCCACTGGGGCACCAGTGGAGAATCTGAAGCAGACAAGTGGTGTAATCTGGTTTGATCTGTAAAAACCCATGGTAACTGTGGGCAAGGAGAGGCAACAGTGCATGTGTGGGACACAGACAGGAGGGAGAAACAGGGAGACCCACCACCACCACAATTATCAAAAAATAAAGGAAGAAGGGAGTGAAGATGGTGTGGGGTGGGGTGGAGAACAGAAGGAAGGAAAGATAGAGGTGGAGAGAAAACTGTTATTCAGAATGTCTGTTAGGAAGAGTACTAGATGTGGGTAGGGAGCCCTTTGCGGTGGGGATGAGACACCTCCCAAACAGGCATCTTGAGTAAGGACAAGTGGTGCCAACCTTTCTTCCAGTGCTTGACTAAGTCAAAAAACCAAACCCATTACTGTTGAGTCGATTCCGACTCATGGCAACCCCATGTGTTACACAGTAGAACTGCTCCAGAGGGTTTTCTTGACGTGATCTTTACAGAAGCAGATCACTGGGCCTTTCTTCCGCAGCGCTGCTAGGTAGGTTCAAACCTTTAGGTTAGGAGTCAAATGCAAACCATTTGCGCCACCCAGGGACCTGCTTTACTAATTTGTTGTTGTTAGTTGCTGTCAAGTTGATTCCAACCCATGGCGACCTCATGTGTGTAGAGTAGAACTGCTCCATAGGTTTTCAAGGCCATGACCTTTCAGAAGCAGGTGGCCAGGCCTGTCTTCCAAGGCGCCTCTGGGTGGGTTTGAACTGCCAACCTTTTGACTAGTAGTCAAGCGCTTAATTGGTTGTGCCACCCAGGGATTCCCTTTACCAAGCATAGGGGACAAATTTGGGGCCAGAGCGGAATTGCTGAGGATGGTAAGAAGACACTCACCAGCAGGACCTGCCTCTGCCACTCTTATTCCAGGCATTCTCCTTGCTCTGGACAAACATTTGAAGAACATTCTCTTGAAAGGGCACCAAATGGTTCGACTGACTAAGGTTTCCCTATGTCTCTCATGCTTGCTAAGTTTCAGGAGAAACTTAGGAAGAATGCGTAGACCAGAAAAATTTAAAACCCTTTCAGTGGGTGTGGTCAGGGCCCAGCACCTTTCTTTCCACATTTGAGACCCTCCTTTCAGGCTGTCCATTCTCCCCCTACTCCTCCCACCTGCAGGATGCTGCTGGCCTTGATCCTCTGGCCACGCCCACAGCCCTCTCCTGTCCAGGAGACTTACCTTCAGCCAGCCAGCATAGAAGAAGAACTGCAAGAATGTGAAGACGGGTACAAAGAGGTCCAGCTCGTGGCCTGGGTAGGCCTTGGCTGGGTCCAGAAATTGCCGTCCAATCAAGCAGGCCACAAAGAAGCTGTATACAGCCACTGTCACTACCTAGGAAGAGGAAGAGGAGACAGAGGCAGAACAGGCTGGATGGGACCCTGGGATCAGGAACCTCCCTTGCAATGACTTTCACACTCCAGTGACTTTAGGTCTCTGTTATCTACTCTTTAAAATGGGGATGATCAAGGATTTCCTTTATCACCACTCTTATTCAGCATTGTGCTGGAGGTCCTAGCCAGAGCAATTAGGCTAGAAAAGGCAATAAAGGGCATCCAAATTGGCAGGGAAGAAGTAAAAGTATTTGCAGATGTTACGATCTTATACACAGAAAACCCCAAAGAATCCTCAAGAAAACTACTGGAACTAATAGAAGAGTTCAGCAAAGTATCAGGATACAAGATAAACATACAAAAATCAGTTGGATTCCTCTACACCAACAAAGAGAACTTCAAAGAGGAAATCACCAATTCAATACCATTTACAATAGCCTCCAAGAAAATAAAATACTTAGGAATAAATCTAACCAGAGACACAAAAGACCTATACAATGAAAACTACAAGACACTACTGCAAGAAACCCAAAGAGACCTGCATAAGTGGAAAAACATACCTTGCTCCTGGATAGGAAGACTCAACATTGTGAAAACGTCAATTCTACCCAAAGCGATCTACAGATACAATGCAATCCCGATCCAAATTCCAACGGCATTTTTTTAATGAGATGGAGAAACAAATCACCAACTTCATACGGAAAGGGAAGGAGCCCAATAAGTAAAGCACTACTCAAGAAGAAGAACAAAGTGGGAGGCCTCACACTACCTCATTTTAGAACCTATTATGCCACCACGGTAGTCAAAACAGCCTGGTACTGGTACAACAACAGATACATAGACCAATGGAAAAGAATTGAGAGTCCAGACATAAATTTATCCACCTATGAGCAGCTGATACTTGACAAAGGCTCAAAGTTCATTAACTGGGGAAAAGACAGTCTCTTTAACAAATGGTGCTGGCATAACTGGACATCCATCTGCAAAAAAATGAAACAAGACCATACCTCACACTATGCACAAAAACTAACTCAAAATGGATCAAAGACCTAAATACAAAATCTAAAACAATCAAGATCATGGAAGAAAAGATAGGGACAATGCTAGGAGCCCTAATACATGGCATAAACAGAATACAAACCATAAGTAACAGTGTACAAACACCACAAGAGAAACTAGATAACTGGGAGCTCCTAAAAATCAAGCACTTATGTTCATCAAACAACTTCATCAAAAGAGTAAAAAGACAACCTACAGACAGGGAAAAAAATTTTGGCTATGAGAAATCTGATTAGCGTCTAATCTCTAAAATCTACTAGATACTGCAAAACCTTAACAACAACAAAAAAACCAATAACCCAATTAAAAAATGGGCAAAGGATATGAGCAGGCACTTGGCCAAAGAAAACATTCAGGCAGCTAACAGACACATGAGCAAATGCTCACGATCATTAGCCATTAGAGAAATGCAAATCAAAACAACAATGAGATAACATCTCACCCCAACAAAGCTAGCGTTAATCCAAAAAACACAAAATAATAAACATTGGAGAGGTTGTGGAGAGACTGGAACACTTATACACTGTTAGTAGGAATGTAAAATGCTACAACCACTTTGGAAATCGATTTGGCGCTTCCTTAAAGAGCTAGAAATAAAAGTACCATATGATCCAGCAATCCCACTCCTTGGAATGTATCCTAGAGAAATAAGAGCCATCATACGAATAGGTATACGCACACCCATGTTCACTGCAGCACTGTTCACGATAGCCAAAAGATGGAAACAACCTAGGTGCCCATCAACGGACGAATGGATAAACAAATTATGATATATCCACACAATGGAATACTACGCAACAATAAAGAACAACAATGAATCCGTGAAACATCTTATAACATGGAGGAATCTGAGTGAATTTAGTCATTCGCAAAAGGACAAATATTGTATAAGACCACTATTATGAGAACTCAAGAAAAGGTTTAAACACAGAAGAAAACATTCTTTGATGGTTACAAGGCTAGGGAGGGAGGAAGAGGGGTATTCACTTACTAGATAATAGACAAGAATTATCTTAGGTGAAGGGAAGGACAACACACACTACAGGGGAAGTCAGCAAAACTGGACTAAACCAAAGCTAAGAAATTTCTTGAATACAACCAAAAACTTCGAGGGACAGAGTAGCAGGGGCAGAAGTCCGGGGACCATGGTTTCAGGGGACATCTAGGTCAATTGGCATAACAAAGTTTTTTAAGAAAATGTTCTGCATCCCACTTTGGTGAGTGGCGTCTGGGGTCTTAAAAGCTTGCAAGCCGCCATCTAAGATGCATCAATCGGTCCCAACCCACCTGGAGCAAAGGAGAATAAAGAACACCAAAGACACATGGAAAGTATTAGCCCAAGAGACAGAAAGGGCCACATAAACCAGAGACTTCATCAGCCTGAGACCAGAAGAACCAGATGGTGTCCGGCTACCACCAATGACCGCTCTGATAGGGAACACAAGAGAGAGTCCCTGACGGAGCAGGACAAAAGTGGGGTGCAGATCTCAAATTCTAGTAAAAAGACAAGACTTAATGATTTGACTCAGACTGGAGGGTCCCTGGAAGACATGGCCCCCGAACTCTCTATTAGCCCAAAACTAAAACCATTCCCAAGGCCAGCTCTTCAAAGATTAGACTGGACTATGGGACATAAAATGATATTCGTGAAGAGCGTGCTTCTTAGCTCAAGTAGATACATGAGACTAAATGGGCAGCTCCTGTCCAGAGGCGAGATGAAAAGGCAGAGAGGGTCAGGAGCTGGTTGAATGGACGCAGGAAATCCGGGGTGGAAAGGAGAAGTGTGCTGTCACAGTATAGGGAGAGCAACTAGGGTCACATAACAATGTATGTATAAATTTTTGTATGAGAGACTAACTTGAACTGTAAACCTTCACTTAAAGCACAAGAATAAAAAAAAAAAAATAGGGATAATCACACTGCCTCATCTGGGCTGGACCAGGCAGGAATCTGAACTGTCAGAACTTTGGTACTACACAGAACCTTCCTCTGATCCCAGGGTGAGCCTCTTAGCCTCTAAGTAAGCCCTCCATCCTGACAGGCTGTTTCCTGAGCCCTCCTAGCCCAAGTTTCCCAAAGGGGCCACTTCCCTAGCCTCCTCACCTGCGTGTAGACCAGCGGGACACTGATCCAGTCATAGGCATAGAGCTGTCCACAATGAGACCGCAAGGTGTTCATCTCCTAGGGAGCAAGAGGGCTTCTGACCACCACCTGCTCTCCAGGCTCATTCCCAGCTCTTCCCCAGGCACCAGGGTTTGCTGCTCAGGGTCCAGCCCTGGCTGTGTGGTCATAGGCAGCTCACTTAACCTCTCTGTGCCCCAGAAAGAACCAGCATCTCACAGGCTCACTTAGAAAGGGAGTCGGAGGGGTTCTTTTGGACAGGGTAAGGGAGACCTTGGGCTGTGGAACTCTGTTGGAAAAGATCCTACAACACTATGGCAGGCTCTAGGAAGACCCTAGGGGTCAAGCCTTCTCTTTGTAGGACACCTTGTTTTGCTGGGCCACACCCTCCCTGCTGGGCAGCAGCCCCATCAGGGTGTTAGGCTCACGTTCAGCAGGCTCTGGAGCAGGACAGAATCTCGGATGCGACCTCCCCTCCAGGCCTTCACTGACAGGTTGGCAAACCATACCCAAGGCACCCAGAACTTGTTGTGTGGTCCTTTGAGGCTTTCTAAGAGCTTGTGTTCTGCGGGGGTCATAAAGCCTGCCAGGAAGAGTGGAGAGGGCAGTGGGTGGGGGAACCCACAGAAGGGGTGGCTGGCACTGGGTGACCAGAGCCCTACTAAGCTCATAGGGACGTCGGCGCTCCTTTATCATTCTCTTTCAACACATAGTTACTGAACGCCTACTATGTGCTGTTCTGGGCTGAGCACGTGGGAGGGGTCTGCCTTATTAACCAGGAGCAGGTCAGGCAAAGCCGAGGGCGAGGTCGGAGGTCGCAGACGTCCAGACTGGAAACCGGAGAGAGGAAGGCGAAAGGCCGAGGGAGGTAGACCCTCGTTCCTCGCCAGCGCCCCAGTCCCCGTCACCGTCCTCAAACCCCTATTCTCCGAGGGTAGATTCCTGGCCCGCCCTCTTCCAGGCACCTGACTCCGCCTCGCCCAAACAGGCCCCTAGATCTCGGCCCCACCTGGTCCTGGTCCCATCCACTCGTCAGTCCCAGGGACCCTGGCTTCAGCCATCTTCCGCCCGGCCCTTCTCCGCCTCTGGCACCGCCCAGTTCAGGCCGGACAACTACCCCCCTGGCCCCGCCCCCGGGCCTCGGGCCCCGCCCACCTGCTTGCACCAGGTGCTGGGTGCTGGGGAAGCGCTTATAGACGGCGGCGCTGATGCTGCGCAGGATAAGCACGTTGGCCAGGTTGGCGTAACGGATGAGCGTGCGCCGCAGCAGCCGCCCGTGCTCATCCTTGCCCTCCACCACGCTCGACACCAAGTTCATGAGGCGGTCGGGCCATGGCAGGCTCTCGTACTGGTTCCACCAACGAGTCACCACCAGCGTCACGTAGAAACCTGGGCAATTGGGATGAGGAGGGGGTGGAGGGGAGTGGCGAGGGGCGAGGCTGTGCCAGAACCCAGCGCCCGCGACGCCTTGATTTCTTCATCTTTCTAATGGGAGCAGGCCCAGCCCCAACCCCGGAACATGCCCAGGAGGAGGAAGGCCCTCAAAGCCTTGCCTGGAGAAGCGAGAGTCTCCAGTGTTGTCTGTACCAGGCCGCCCTGCCTATCCCATAAAATTTCTGGACCCCCTCCGCTCCTGCACAGAGCCTCCAGGGACCATAATGTCAGCGCTTCCCTCAGAAACGGGGTCTTGGGTGCTAACAGTAGGGCGTCCTTCCTGATGTCTAACTTCAGTCCCTCTGGCTACAGTCCCCATGTTTCCCTGAACTACAGAGAGGCAGACAAGCCACTCGCCTTCACCTCCCAGCTCCTGGTGTTCGCCTAGGGCCTCTCAGGAGACCCTGAGACCACGAACGGGGGCTCACCCAGCACGAAGGAAATGGGGATGAGTTGGATGGAGTTGTCACAGTACAAAGTCAGCTTCTCAAACAGCAACTGCTGTTCACTCGTGAGAGCCAGCCTGGGGGGAGGCAGAGATGTATGGATGCTGTGAGGAGATGGCTGAGGCTCTTCCCCAGGCCCAGGTCCCAGGGAGCCGCCTTTGCTGCCCCATATCCTCTTGTCTCTTCCACTGCCTCAGCCCCAGGAACTTGAGCTGGGTCCTATCTCCTTCTCTGGCAACCGTGAGCCCAGCAGGGCCCCTGCTCCATGGCTGGAGGAGGCCATCTGGAGTGGTTTCCTGTGAGGAGAATCCTCACATTGACCAGTGGGTGAGGTGTAGGAAGGAAGGTCCTGATGACGGGGTCAGTTTTAGGCACCACTGACCATTCTGACTCATGGCGACCCCATGTGTTACAGAGTAGAACTGCTCCATAGGGTTTTCTGGGCTGTAATCTTTACAGAAGCAGATCACCAGGCCTTTCTTCTTCAGCACTGCTGGGTGGGTTTGAACCACCAACTTTTAGCTTAGTAGATGAGCGCAAACCATTTGCATCACCCGGGCAGAGTTGACTCAACATCAATAGGTTTGTTTTTTTATTTTTTAACCATTTAAAAGGATCGAAGGGACAGCTGTTTAAAAGCAGGTTGAAACAAAGGGTGTTTGGTCTTTAAAAAATGTCCAGTCTGGATATGTGAGCCTCACAGGGGCAGCGTGTGGGATTCTGGGGACCAGGTAAGGCCTGGCTCTGAGACCCTCCTGGCCTGGGTTGAGCTGCCCTCCCAGTCGGACTCTTTTTCTCTCCTCCTCAGCTCCCACCTCCAGGCCCTGGCCAGGAGCTCAGCTCAGTCCACTGGTGCATTGGTCCTCTAGCTGGCTGGGAGGTCCCTCCTAGGAGCTGAGAGCCTCGGCCACCCCCTCCTGGTCCCCAGCCCTAGCCCTGCTGCCAGTACCTGTAGATGAGGCGGATGGTGTAGTAGCAGAGCAGGAAGATGAAGAACTCGCCATAGAGCAGTTTATAGATGCTGCCCCTCCAGCACAGTAGCAGCCGGGCGAAGGAGCCTAAGCGGGCATTAGCCACTTTATTTGTGTAGGTAACGGTCATAGCCAGGCACCGGGCTGCCAGCAGGTGGGCTTGGGTCCTGGTGGGCAGACGCACAGGGACACTGATGAGGGGCCGGGAGGGAGCAAGAACTTTGGTCAGAGCCTCTCTGAGACTCGTGACCTTAGCCAGGCCCTTTCCTGCTCTGGGCCTCAGCTCTGCTGTCTGGACACTGGGAGGGGGATACGGTGGTCACTAAGGCCCTCCAGCTCTGACTGCCTGTGGGAGATGGGGACCCGGGGAAGTGAGTCCAGAGACTGGCCACAGCCTTGGCAAGGAAGACATAGGTGCTGGTTACCGATGAGTCCATTTCCACTCATGGTGACCCCGTGGGTGTCAGAGTTGAACTGCATTCCATAAGGTTTTCAGTGGCTGTTTTTTCTAAAGAAGATCGTCAGGCCTTTCCTCCGAGTCACCACTGGGTGGACTCGAACTGCCAACCCTTTGGTTAGCAGCCTAGCGCATGAATCAGTTGCCCCACCCATAGGTAGACCTGTATATTTGGTGCATGCCCTTAAATTTGTACGACAAAGGCAGTAACAACAGCCACGTGAACACACTGAGCTTGGGTCCTCTGAGCCAGGCGGTGTTTTGAGCCCATATTGTACATTAGCTTCCCAAGCTCCCTCAGCTACCCTGGAGCAAGAAGTAAGTATGGGACCGGCTCAGCCTTATCCACTGCCGCCTCCCCAGTGCCCAGAACAGAGCCTGGCTGATGGAGATAATCAGTGTTTGCGGAATGGTGGTTCCAGGGCCTGATCCTCCTGCCTGGGGGCTACTCATCCCCCAGATAACTGCGTGGCCCGCTCCCACTTCAGGTCACCTCCTCAGAAAGGACGTCCCCAGTCACTCTACTAGGGAATGGTGCGCCATTGCCACCAACACTCTCTGTTCCCTCACCTTGCTTGATTTTTCTCCATAGTACTTACCATGACTTGAAAGTATACTATACAGGATTTCTGCTTATTTCCTGCCTGTCCTTTTCTGAGAATGGATGCTCCTATTGTGTTCTCATAGGAGGTACTCGGTAAAAAGTTATTGAAGCACTTTTAAGAACTATCTGTATGGGATCAGATTGACAACAGCAACTCAAAAGATTAGATAGGAAACTTAGGGGGCAGTGAGTTTATGCTAATGGGGAAGGAACAATTCAGAAAAGGAGGGTGAGCATGGTTGCACAGCTTGAAGAATGTGATCACTGTCATTGGATTGGACATGTAGAAATTCTGGAAATGGCGTATGGTCTGCTGTGTGTAGTCTCAACAACAACAACAACAAGTAAAATAAAATATATTTTAAAGAAGAAAGAAAGAAATGGAGCCCTGGTGGTGCACCAGTTAAGCCCTCAGCTTCTATCTGAAAGGTTGGCGATTCAAACCCACCCAGCGGCTCCTCAGGAGGAAGAGCTGACGATCTACTTCTGTATAGATTACAGCCAAGAAAACCAGTTCTACTTGGTCACGTGGGGTCGCTATGAGTAGAAATTGACTCAGTGGCAAACAGCAACAATATCAAGAAGTATAAATATGTTTCTAAAACCAAGGGCCATTTAATTTATGCTATCACATTTAGTAGAAGTATCAATAAACAGTAATTTATAGCTGCCAAAAAAAAAAAAACTTATTGAAGCAATGATTGACGTCCCCACCCACCCCACAACCTTCTCTGATACAGCCACACTGGCTGTCTCTGACCCTGGTGCACACCAAGCTCATTCCTACCACAGGGCCTTTGCACAGACATGCAGGTGCTCACACACCTGCATGTGTGCTGCTCATGTGTATACATCACACACATGGATGAAGGCCCAAACCCCAGCCCAGCCCACTTAGGGCAACCCCTACTCACAGGCAGGGCTCCGGGCTGGTCTGGTGATTCCACAAAAGGTCTGGCCACTGGGCTGGTGGGACTCTCTGGGGTCCTGAGGCCAGGGCCCCTGTTTTAGGGTACCTTAGGGTACTGGCACCACCCAAGTGTCTAAGTGTGTGCTCAGTGGTCACTTGACTCCCTAAGCCAGGGCCTCCACAAAGCGGCCCTTGTCTGAGCCCCTCCTGATAATCTGCCCATAAACGGCTGTCATCACAGCCGGGCCAGGGGCCCTCTAATTCCTTCCTGGGGGGAGTCGGACTGAGACCAGGGCTGGCATTTGGGTCACCCTCCCCCTCTACCATGTTGTTGCTAGGTGCCCTCGAGTCGATTTTCCACTCATAACTACCCAATGTGACAGAGAACTACCGCATCGAGTTTTCTAGGCTGTAATCTTTATGGGAAGGAGCCCTGGTGGTGCAGTGGTTAAAGCACTTGGTTGCTAATACAAAGGTCCGTGGTTTGAACCCACCAGCCGTTCCTCAGGAGAAAGATGTAGCAGTCTGCTTCCATAAAGATTACAGCCTTGGAGACCCGAAAGAGCAGTTCTACCCTGTCCTATAGGGTTGCAATGAGTCAGACTCTAGCTGATGGCAGTGGGTGGTTTTCATCTTTACAGGAGCAGATCGCCAGGCCTCTCTCCCACAGAGTCGCTGGGTGGGTTCAAACCCCCATCCTTTCAGTTAGGAGCTGAGTGCTTAACCATTGTGCCACCAGGGCTCCTTTTCCGTCCACCGTGGGCCCTGCCAGTCCTGCCATTTCCTCTGGGCCCTAAAATCCAGAGATTGAGGGATTTGGTCCCTTGTGTCCTGTCCTCTAAGGCCTTACAGGGCGAGGCGTGGGGATGAGGGACTGTGGCCCTGGGCCTTATCTTCTGGGCCAGGAGTTACCCAAGGAGAGGAGCTTGCCCCTGTCCTGTGTGGCTGCCACAGCGCCGTGGCTGTGGAAACAATTCTGGGCTACAGTCAGAAATCCTGGGTTCTAGTCCCGGCTCTACCTCTGGTGACCCTGTGTGCGTCTCTGATCCTCTCTAGGTCTCAGTGTCCCCCATTTGAAAAGGACGATATTGCTTTGGAATTTCATCACCTCAGAAAGACGGACAGAATTCAGAATATTCTGGTGAGGAGCCCTGATTGGCTGCTGGTGACAACATAGGATATGCTGGGCTGTGATTGGTTGGCAGCACCCAGGGGAGTAGGTTGGTCCAGAATTACCGAAGGAGAAGGGGGGCAGGGTCTGCGTGAGTGGAGCCAGGCTTGGAGCTGGATGATACTGCAGCCCTGGGTGGGGCGGGGGGAGGGAGCCCTTCAGAAAGGTTATGCTGCTGGCTCCCAGCCAGGGGCAAAATAGAAGTATGTGCACAGATTCTCAAGGGCTGCCGGTTAAAATCTTAGCAGCTACTTCAATAAATTTTAGTACAGCCATCTATACGCGAGAGCTCTGTAAATCGCTGGAAGTGATGGGTGCCTGCGCAAACATGATTGTCTTGTATTGTTAAATGAAAAGAGTAGCACTCAAGGCAACAGTTTTTAGGAGGCACAAGAATCGCCCGGAATGCTTATTAAACATGCAGCTTCTCAGGATCTTTCCACGGGTAGATTCTGTGGCCTGAGGTTGTTGCATTTCTAACAAACACTGCAGAGGATTATAATGGCCAGTGGTCTGTGGACCGCTCCTTCAGAGCCCTGATTTAAAATATGACCCTGAGCCTTAAAATAATTGCAGACTCTAACTCTCTTTCCCTCTCCCTTCCTCTCTCTCTCTTTTTCTCTCCCCAACCCCCACACTCCTAAGTGTTAATTTTTGTGCACATCACTTTTGCCTGGAAAAAAAAAATTCACAATGACCTCAGATAGTTTTCTGCTGACATTGAACAATAAAGCTGTTGCTATTAGAGAGAGCCTCTCCAGGGATCAGAGGCAGCCTTGTAGGAGTATTTGTTGCAGCCTTGCCACCCACGCTGTGGGAAACATCTTTCCCATCGCGGTCCTTGCCTGAAACAGCGAAAGGAACAGGGGCCCTTGAGCCTCAGTCTCCTCATCTGCGAAATGGGACAATAATGCCTACCTTGGCAACTGGATGAGAATGATGGATGGGGAACATGTTACTCAACTCTCCAAACCAGTGGCTCTCATGCCCCACCCCGTACAGCTTCTGATTCACTTGTTCCAGATGGGGCTTGGGCATCCGTATTTTCCCAAGTAAGGGGATTTCTTTGTTGTATTCTCTCTTCCCCCCACCAACACACACCAAACCCGGAAGAGAGCTTTCCACTTAGTAGATGATTAGTAAGTATTTGTTTTAAATTTGAAAAATGAAATGCATGCCTGGCACCACGCCTGGCACGGTGATGCTCACTCTGTATAGTTGAAAGGATAAATGAAACCTCTGCAGTGGCCGCTAGAGGGAGCCCTTAACTGGCTGACTCTGGCTTGGGAAGCCTAGAGCTGACACTGGAAGGCTCCTTTATCTCCCTGGCCCTGACCAACAGCCAATAGGGGCATGCGAGAGAGTTGGGAGAATCTGGAGTCCCCTTCCCTCCCAAAGTGAGGTTGACCGGCTGGTTCCTTGGCAAAGTCCCCAAAGGCCCACCAGGACCAGCTGATAGTGCTGCCCCAGCCCCCTTTCTCCTCCCAAATGCCGCAGGATATCCCAAGAGCCACCATGAGCAGCTCCTCCTGGTCCTTCCCCAGTGCTGAGGCAAGCACACTGAAAGTCATGGTCTCCCCACTGTGTCTTGGCCATGAAAATGTCCCCAGCCAGCCAGGCATGGCTAAGGCACACAGCAGGGCCATACAAGCCCTGACTGACCCAAGCCAGGCCTGGAGGAAGGTCCCCAGGATTGACTCCTAGAAGGATGGGGCCCACCCAACCCAGTTAGGATAGCCCTCTTCTGCTTTCCCTTCCGTAAATCGCCACTTGACAAACCATTTCTGATGCCAGGCCCTGGGGCTGAAATGAGCCTAATCTGGTTCCTGCCCTTCAAGAGTTCACAGGCAAATGAAAAACAAAGGAAACACTTAAGTAACTCTAACCCAGAACGGCAAGGCCTGAGGTCTGTACCAAGTGCACAGAGGTCAGGGGAACTTTGGGAGAGAAGGGAACATTTGAGGTGGGTCTTGAAGCATGAGCAGGAGCTCACTGAGCTGAGAAGGATAGAAGAGCATTACATGTCGGGAGAACAGCCCATGAAAAGTCATGAGAAATGACTGTGAGGGATGGTTTAGTATGGCATTATTATCTACATTTTACAGAGGCAGACACTGAAATTCAAGGCTTGCCTTGCTGAAGGTAACACAGCTAATAAGTGGCTGGGTTGGGACTAGAATCTGGGTCTTCCGATTCTGAATCCTGTATCCTTTCCACTACCCATCACCTCTCTGGTGGAGAGCAGTTTATGAGGGGTGGAGTCTTACCTGTTAGGGTAGTGGTCTCTGTCAGGGTTGAGGGGAGGTCCAAGGAATGGCGGGTGCACAGAAGAGACGCTGACTCCAGCACAGTCTATGCTCTTCAGCCCCCTGGCAGAGAGCCATCTCCGGGGGCAGGCGGAGCAGAGCTGAGCAAACAGGTGAGGTTCCAGAGGCAGAATGCTACGGCCTTCTCATCTTGGGTCACCGTGGCAACAGAAGCATCACAGAGGGCCCTCCACAGTGTCCTTCCAGGCCCTGGCTTGGCCAGGGCAGGAAGAAAGGGACCCACCTTGGCCGGCAGCAGTGGGCAGGGGGCTCTGGGGTGAGCCAACCAGGCCTGGCTGCTGCTGCCAGGCTACATGTAGGGCATCCACCAGCCCACATCCCTCTCTTGGGTCAGTCACAGGACAGAACAAGCAGAGGCCAAGAGAGAAGTGACTTTGGACAAGGCTTGGCACAGCTGGACAGGGCAGGGGAGGGAAACTGCTAGTCCAGGGTCTGGAAGCAAGATTGCCAACCATACCTCTAACCTGGGTCCAGGCAGCCCTGTTTCCTGAAGGGCCAGGTAGACTCAGCATTCAAAGAAATGAACATATAGGCTCTGGCCACTGCAGAAAGACAACAGGACTGGGGAGGCAGGCAGAGGCTGGGACACGCCTGCAGCTAGCTTCACCAGGCCCAGTTCTGCCAACCACACCAGAACAGTATGGAATAGACCAGAGCTGGCCCAACCAGAGACACAAAGCAAGTGGACTCATCACGCCTTGGGGAGAACACTGGGACCCCTGAGCTGCCCATCTCCCATGGACCCTGCTCTGCTGAGGCCAGCCAGGTGAGGCACAGACCCCATTTACAGCCCCTGACAGCTCAGAACTGAGACTAATAGGCAGGTGAGAAGGAGCCCCACGGGTCAGCCTTCTCCCGGGGAACTGTACTGGGCACTGCACTAGATGCTGTTCTCACACGTTCATTACAAGTCAATAGCCTCAGGTTTCCCCATCTGTCAAATGGGCTTCATAATTTGCGAAGAAGGAATCCTGGTGGCACACTGGTTAAGCACTTGACTGCTAATTGTAAAGTTGGCAGTTCAAACCCACCAGCGGCTCTGCAGGGGAAAAGACCTGGTAACCTGCTCCATAAAGATTACAGTCTAGGAAACCCTATGGGGCAGTTCTACTCTGTCATATTGGATTGCTCTGGGTCGGAATCAACGGCACACACCACCAACAACAAATTTGTAAAGGGGAGCATGTTAATGGGTTTCTCATCCAGCTGCTCATTCTGCAGATGAAGAAACTGGGACATAGGGAAGGAAGGAAAATGACTTGCCAAAAGTCACAAAGAATTAGGGGTGGAGCCGGGCCATCAACCTAGATCCACTCTCTAGGCCAGTGCAATGCATCTCTTCGCTGTTCCAGAATATTCCTGTGGCTCAATTCTGCAAGCATGCACTCAGTGTCTGCTGTGCTGAGTGCTGTGGTGGGCATTGTGGGGGTGAAACCAGAGAAGAAGCAACAGTTTCTGTCATATCTTGAGCACCTACTCTGTGCCAGCCAGTGCACTAACTGCTTTTTAGAAAGAATCTCATCTACTCTTCAGAACAAGTCCCCAGGGAATAAGAAGTGGTATCTACCTG